GGCTGCGGGCGGGCTCTGTACCGGGCGGCCCCGGCCCCGGCGGCTCCAGGTGAGAAAGAAGCGTTTGTCTTATCCCTGCCGCTGCCTCTTCTGGGTTTTGGTGGTTTTTTTTTTCCCTGGGACGCAGGTCAGGGTGGTCTGCAGAGGAGACTAAAGGCACAGTCATGGTAAATTGTTTTTCCTGGATCATTTTTTAAAGTGTCTTCTCCAAATCATGTTTTTATTTGACTTCTGGTATCACACAGTGAATTGTGATTCAGAGTATATCAAAACCAATCTGTCTAACTTTTTTTTTTTTCCTGAGCTTCTACTTTGCTTTTTTTTCCTTCTTTCTTCTGTAGCAAACAATCTATAAACAACAGGGGTAGCTGAATGCCTAATGTGAAAACAAACCTTCTTGCCCTCTACTCTATTTTTACAGCCTTTAGACTGTAATGAAGGTAGCAAGGGAGACTAGTTCATGTAATTATACACATACATATATGCCTAGGTAATAACATTCTTCAAATCTCTCCTTGCAAGCTGAAACTCTAGCACTTTCTGTAAATGGTATGCTTGGTTTTATAACTAAGTCATGATGCCAGGCACACTGGGGCCTGTGGAAAGTCTTCTGTAGTCATGGTTCAGGCCTGTTAGCAGTAGTTGCAGGCAGGAAACTGTTCAATGTACACCCATGTGGTGGGTTTCAGTCTTGGTTTGTCAAGCCCCCTTTCTGCTGTGTCTTCTAGATTAGAATGTGGAATTGTCAGTGTGCCTCAGGACTGATCTGCAGCTTTGCCTTCTCTTACCACTGAAATTTGCAGGGCAACAGTTTGCAGCAAGACTGTGTTCAGCTTTCTGTATGAAAGTTTGACTGAAGCATAGAAGTAATTCCTTTTAAAACTTGTTTAGAATAATTTCATGTTGTGTTTGTGCCCTAATGTCTTACAGCAGCTGTATTGGCGATATATGGAGTAATTTCTTTGTATATGTCTAAATTATGTTGGTGTTGGGGGATGGAACTCTGTAACTCTTTTGTCTTGCTTGTCTGCAAAATCCACAAAAGAATTTATTATTTTTATTCAAGACTTCAATAGCTTTGTCACTCGGACCAACACTTGTGGAGAACTGCGTTCTGCTCATGTGGGACAAGAGGTCACACTGTATGGATGGATTCAGTATCAAAGGTAAACGCAAACCAAGGTGAAAATGGAGATGCTTATTTGCCAGATCCAATGTATGCTCTAGGCCTGGATTCAAACACTTTTTTTATGCTTCAGGCTATCTTTTTGTATCCTGCAGTAGTGACTTCTGAAGCGAGTAAAACAGTTGAGAACTGTGCCAGATCAGTATTTAAAACTTCAGAGTTTCATACAAATGTTAATTGATTCTCATTACAACACTGTAAAGCAGTTAAATATTATTACCCTCATTGTATAGGAGAGAAAACAAGTAATAGCACATTTATAGCAATTCTAACAGCTGTGAGCAAGTAATTTCTTTTATGTAGTGTCCCTAAATTTTAAGCAAACAGTGCTGTTTGTCTTTTCAACTACAGCATCTAATGATGCAATTTTGAAGTATGCAAGCTTTGTTTAAAAAAGAAATATTAAGAAAAGGTAGTAAGCAGAGGATGAAATGTTAATTCCAACAGTTTGCTACAGGTGGCGTGATATAATCACTCCTAATGGAGTTGTACGTTTTGTAAATGTAAGGTGAAAAGCATGTCTGCATACAGGATGGACAATGCTCCAAAATATTCTGATCCTGGGTGTGTGCTTGTAAAATGGAGATAGGTCCTGTGGCTTTGAAGTAAATGAAATAAATTTGTATCAAAAGTCGCGTTTTGTGTTTTACAGTCCAGAGAGGATGGTTTTTATCCAGCATTGTTCTGCAGTGATAGTCTGCATGGGTTTTTAAAATTTTTTTAGGAGGTCCTGAGCATCTCACCTTTGAACAGTCATGGGTGGAGTTCCAGGAAGCAGAGTTAGGATTGTTGCAATGAGATTGTTGCACTCTTGCTTTTAAAGACAGCCAGAGCGTGTTCCGTTTGACAGCTGCTTGATGGATTAAGTACAATGGTAGCTATCTCTACTGCAGCTGAAGAAATCAAAATTTATGATTCTGGGTCTAGGAGTGTGAATTGTTCATGTGAAACTTCTTATGGGACCAGTGTTCTCCTTCTTGTTTTGTGGTTGGATTTTTTTTTTTTGTATCCATGTGAACTTTAGTTTTATTGCTCATCTAAATGTGTTTATCTGAATGATATTTCCCAGCAGGAAATTGCACGTGTTCAGAATCCCTGCTCTACATGGATTAATGTTCAAGTTAAAATCCTGACTCTCCTGGTTATTTGCACACTGTTTGTCTGTGGCTGGGCAAAATCTGAAACAAATTTTTCAGATTAGATTCAGATGTGGGAAAAGTATCTGTACATACATTACTTGGAAGTGCTGAGATTAGTGACAAGGTACAGAAAGTAGCTAGTTGCCATGTGCTGTGGCTTAAAAAGCAGAAGACTACTACAGAAGAATTCTTGAAAAAACTGTTTTTCCTTTTATGTTTTTCATGGATCAGACAAGGCCTGTTTCTGGTTTTGAGGGATTTCCAAGGTCTGACCCAGATCGTCATTCCACAGGATGAGGTAAGTGCTACCAAAATATGAGTCTCTATTACTTTTGTTTTTCCTTTGGTAGCTTGGGTCCAGCAGACAGGGAGAGCAGAACGAAGTACTTTGTCAGACTGAGTACTCTGACTCACAAGTAGATGTAAGCGTTACGAGTTTCTGAGCAACAGAAACATTAATGCTGTTTTCTCTGGCTTACGACGAGTCATCCCGGATTCAAATGGGCCGTTAAGAAATGAGGCCCATCAGCATGGTGTATTTGTCCTCTTCTTCGAATTCCTGTGAGACGTCAAATGGGCCGTTAAGAAATGAGGCCCATGAGCATGGTGTATTTGTCCTGTTCTTCGAATTCCTGTGAGACATTGTCATCTTCTTGCAGGCACATTCCCATGTGAAGAAGCTCTTGTCTAATGCCCCAGTGGAGTCTGTTGTGCGAGTGACTGGAATTGTGTCCCCTCGGCCCCCAGGGCAGGAGAATCCGGTGAGGATGTTGGGGTGTCTCAGGTGTTTTGTTCCTTGTGGAAAAGAGCACTGAATAGTAGGATTATGGTAGGTTTTGTGTCATAGCTTTGCCATGGGTTCTGGGTGTGTGACAGCCTATCCTCAGATAATGTGAGATGAAATAACTGCTTTGACATGTCACTTAGGAGAACCTCAAAGCACATTACAGACACCCACGAATTAGATTGTATTCCAGCCCTTTGAAAGGATACTGGCTAGTTTTTTCAGGCTTTCAAAGTGTGGTTGAGAATTACTTCTTCTTGAAAGTAAGTGTTGTCATCACAAGTTCCACAGCATGTGATGACGTATTTCTCACTCAGAATAGATTTTGCTGTTCTCATTGTATAGGAAACAGAGGTTGAATAATTTTTTTAGTGTTATGCATTCCTCAGCTCTCACTGTAATCAGCTGTAGGTTAATCTGTCAGGATTGTACGTATCCCATCACTGGCAGGCCTAGAAAGAGAACCTGGATTTATGACCATAACTTTCTTGCTCTGACGACTTACAGATGTCCGTAAAGAAGGCAAGCTTCAAGCAATGCTTGTATTTCTTTTAATCATTTATCATTTTTTTTGGAAGGCTGTACATACTTTCCCCGGGTAAATAGAAAGAGTTCTGTGGGATCAAATGAACTTTGATGTGGCACAGTGCTAAGTGGGGGAAGCTGTCTGTTCTCCCTGGGGATCTAAGAAAAAGAAGACTAGTTCTGAGAACTGGTGTTCAGAACTGGAAGTTCTGAATGGAACTGAACAGAAGTCACCTTTTTTGACTTGTATTAAGGACTGATGGTGATACTGCTAATGCACACTAAAATGTATACTGCATGGTTTCATTGAAGCTGATGGAACTAGTATTTTGTCCAAATGCGTGTGCCCTAGAAGGGTCTGTGCCTGACTGTACCGCTGTGCTCAGCATGTCCTTCAGGGAGAAGGCAAAGGAAAAGTAAGTATATTTCTTGTAGAGATCAGTATGCTACTGGGAAAGAACATGCCATGTTTGATGAAGTGACTTGTGTTTTTCTGAACAGAAGGGAAATCTAGGAGAAATCTGTCCTTGAGAGAAGCTCTCTGAGTTATACCGTGTTAGAAGGCAGGGAGGATAATCACATGGGTTTCTTTTTTCCCCCCAACCATCTGTGAAATACCTTTGTCCAATTGTTTTCCCTAAGTTTTGAATCTGATTTTTTTTTCTTGCCTTTTTGCTCCAGAAAATGCCAACAGGGGATATTGAAGTGAAGGCGGAGACTGCAGAGATCCTGAACTCCTGCAAGAAGCTACCTTTTGAAATCAAGGATTTTATCAAGGTGTCCGTGTTTTTTCTTCTTTTACCAAAGTGGTGGCTTTTCAATAAATTGGGACTTTGCCCAGGGTGATGGTGAAACATCTGAGAGCTTCGTCTGGTTGTCCCAGCTCTGCTTTGGGGGAAGGATGGTATTTAAAATAGGGGTGCTGCTTGTTAGCTGTGAGGATGTAATTCTAATTAGAGTTAAGCAGAAAACAAGGCTTAAATGATTCCAGTGCACCGGGTTTTCAAATATCACTGTAAGAACAGATGGTAAAGTGAAGAGTGAAAGAAATCAGGCTATGCTAGCTTTTTTGAGAGTGTGAAACAGAACCTGCCAATGCACTGCTGTGTTTTAAGGCAAGGGTGCATAGCCTTATCTGGAGAAGTAGATAGTCAGCCAGAGGATTTTCTTCCTCTGTAAGTATACAGTCTTGTAAGAGGTTGGTTTTAGTGCAGGCTCCATGGTGTAGGAGTGGCATCAGTGTTAACTGAAGATACTCTTCGTGCCATTGAAACTTTGACTGATAGATAGGTGTTGGAATTGGGAGAACTGGTTCCTGTTCCTTCCATGTTTTGGGTCCTGGACAATTCCCGTCATCCGCACTACTTTAGTTTTCCTGTCTGTAGTAAGGATGTACCACCATTTAGTTGTTCCTTTAGATCTATGTATGATACCGCTCCTCTGCTTAAAAATCACAGGGAGGATTGCTACAGTCTGTTGCAGTGGACTGAGAATAAGGAGAGCTGAAATCCTGACCTTTGTTGAGGCAACTGTTATCACAGTGAACGTCTGTCTGTTTTGTTCTTTTTATTTTTTTAAAGTAATTATTGTGCATGGAAACACTCTCAGTGGCTGATGTTTGTCAGTGTAGATTGTGGGTAAAGGGTGGGTTGTGGAAATAGAGCAGCATTCTTTTTTAGCTTCCCCCTTTTGTCCTGTGGCTTTAAGAGCAGTTTCATTGGACATGCAATTTGAATTTTGTCTCTTAATCCTGATTATCTCTTATCTCCAGAAATCAGAGGCCTTACGGATGCAGTATCGCTACTTGGACTTGCGTAGCTTCCAGTTGCAGTATAACCTGCGGCTGAGATCACAGATGGTGATGAGGATGCGGGAATATCTGTGTAACCTCCATGGTAAGAAAAGTGCTTGAAGAACAGTGAGCAGCAAACAACATTTTAGCCCTCCCTTCTTTTGTTTCCTATTGCTGGGAGAGATTGCCAGTCAACTTGGTACTCCAAACTGGTCCCACTTAGGAAGGACATGTTTGCTTGCAGTGGGGTCTTTAGAGGGATGTTGGCAGGCCTGAAGAACAAAGTATGTTGAAATCTCTTAGCATGCTACAAACTAGTTGTTTCAAATGAGCTATATCCAGTGAGAAAAGGCCTCTTGCAGGTAGTTTCCCTCTTTGGGTCACCCAGTTTGAGGCATGTCAAAGGGATGGATTTCTTATAGGGCTTTTGCTTATCTTAAAATCAGGAAATCCTTTTTGGAAAAGCAAAGCCTAGTTCAAAATGGATAGAGAATTAACAGTTTTTCAGCCTATATGGAGTCCTCTGTCATCAACAGTTCTGGCAGGACATCAGGGTGGCTCAGAGTTTAAAGTCTGTCATTACACAAGTTCTTCTTAGAAGCAGCAAAATCTATAGATTTTGGAGAGGCTACGTGGTATGCTAGATTACCTATTTTGCTGACTAACACTACTCTAGCTTACTTTGTGTCATACTAGTTCTCCCTGCTCTCAGCATATTGTGTGTCTGAACCATGTGTTTGTTCCTCAGGGTTCGTGGATGTAGAAACTCCAACGCTCTTTAAAAGAACCCCAGGGGTATGTATTCTGTCAGTAATGCATTTTAGCCTCCTGCGATTGCATAGGCAGTTCATGGTTGAATTACTGTCAGTTGCCACTTGGCCTTCATTGCTGTTCCCTCACTAAATAACAGCTCGTGCAAATTTCTGATATCATACATGGATCCTTATAAAAGCAGAGGGAGTGAAAGGGGAAAGGTGGTATCTTGTGTCTTAATTTTGAACCTGCAAATGAATAAAGCTTCTGTCTTGTAGAGCACATGTTGAATGCAAGTCCTATCCTGGGACAGCCAGGTTATAAAACCAAAAAACTTCCTCTAAGCACGGTTTCCCCAGCATTTATCTCTTAACTAGTAGTTTACTGCGGTGGCACTACTCAGTAATTTTAATTTCTGAGCTTATATTCCTTTCTTTCATTTCAAAAATAATCACAGAGAAGAGAGCTGTAGCCCAGGAATTGTTGATGCAGCCAACAGATGGAGTTCTTGCATTTAAACCCTTGTCTTGGATGGTGTATTGTTATGCATTAGTCTCTCAGGTAGAGAATCCTCCTTTGGGATATTTTGGACCAAGTTGGTTAACAGATTTGTTTTTTTTAAGTGTAACGTACAAACAGCCATTTCCTCACAAGTGGGATTTCATAATGGGGAAAATAGGTCCTTTCGTCTTGCGCTTCTAGTCTGTGATTTCTGTCAGGAATTGAGGCCACTTATTTGCTGAACTGTGTAAGCTTTTCTTTCTGATGCTAGGGAGCAAAAGAATTCCTTGTGCCCTCGAGGGAAGTAGGCAAGTTCTACTCTCTGCCACAGAGTCCTCAGCAGTTCAAGCAGCTCCTCATGGTTGGAGGTCTGGACAGGTAAGAGTTTCTTGGACTCGTGTTCCCTGCATGTCCCATCCAGAGTTTGCTTGCTTTGATCTGTGAGGTTTTAGATACTTCCTAAAAGCTTACTGCCAAGAGTTTTGTGTTTTGAAGAGGGATCCTTAAATACTTAGGACTCTTCAGCTAAGCCAGGCCCTTTGCTCTCCGCCCCCAGCAGTAACGCCTCCCAGTAAGAGGAAGTGTATCCTGTTTGAAGGTTCAAATCTTCACTTGTTTTAAATGGAAACCTGATCTGAAGCACAGTCTGCCTGAAGGGCAGAAAATTGTGTGTGATAAAAGCCTCTCCAAGACTAACCTATAGAACTAATTGAGATGAGGCTGGGCAGCTGAGCAGGACTGGGACAAGGAAAGCATGTTCTCAGGGTGCATGAGTACAAAGCTTTTAACTGGGCTTGTTCCTCCAAATAAAATTGAAGGGGAGGGAGACAGTTCATTCAGTGAACTGCAGGCCAAGTCTTGACCGTGAGTGAGTTTTGCATGGCCCTTCATAGAGTCCAGGTTTGGAGTGGAAGGTGGGAAAAGGGGTTGCATATGCCCTGGTTGGGACACAGCTCACCTGGTAGCCTCCACGTGCCTCTGGAGGTATGGTTGGAGATGGAATACAGCTGCTGATATGGTTGCTTCCACTCAAAATTTCATGCTTTTGAGAGGATGGGAACAACCAGGGCTATGATCATCTATTGCAAAGGGAACAGACCTCTTTTTTCTTTTTATGGTCAATTCTGTAGCCACAATTTAATTTAGGGTACTTTAAAGTGTTATCTGAGTGAAAGTCCTATTGCAGGTATTTTCAGGTTGCTCGCTGCTACCGAGATGAAGGTTCGAGGCCTGACAGGCAGCCTGAATTCACTCAGGTAACCAGCTCGCACTGCCTTTTACCCTTACTTACCTTCTGAAGGCTTAGTTTCTGCTAGCTCTTGTGCTGCTTGGGGGGTACAATGTTGTTTGCTGCGTGTTTCACAGGCAGTCCTTTGAAGTTAGTATGAGACACGCGCAGAGTGGTTGCTGTTCCTGGATGACTGCACAGTCCCAGGTACAGTAGATGTGGGAATTGTGTTGCAGCAGTGATTGTCCTTGGTGATGCAATCTCCTCCTGTCCTGCTGTGTCGGGTATCCCATTCCTCAGCCTTGAGATCCCAGGCAGAGTTAGCCTGGTTCATTCAAGGCTTCTCCTTCTGTCCTCGTCATCATTACCTCATTCAGTTATCTGAGGAGATCGTGTGCTGAGTCATCAGGCTGTAGGGAGATCATAAGCACACCCTCAGTCTAATGCAGTCATGCTATGATTTAATGTAGTATGTTGTTTCTTTTTAAGCTAGCTTTAGAGTCAAGAGCTTCTGCAAGTAGCAGTGCAAAGGCAAAACCTGTAGCTAATGTGGAATCCCCCCTTCTTGTTTTCTATTTTAAGATAGATATAGAGATGTCATTTGTAGATCAAGCTGGGATCCAGAGATTGATAGAGGGCCTCCTGCAATATTCCTGGCCTGAGGAAAGAGGCTGCATTACGACTCCTTTCCCTTCCATGACATATGAGGAGGCATTGGCTGACTATGGGACTGATAAACCAGACACTCGTTTTGGGATGAAGGTGAGGGTTTGCCCAATGGAAACTTGCAGCTTTTACTTTCTGTTAGTGTTTTAAGAATGTTTAAATCAAGTATATGTGATTGGCTGAGGTTCTTAATGCTGTAATTTACCTAAGGTGTCTATCCCGTCATTGCTGCTTTGTACAGGTCATCATCTCTTGCAGAAGAGAGGGTTTGATTATTTGGTTCAGGGAAAATATATGTTTTTAGAATTTTATTTTAAAGGTAATGTAGTATTAGGAAGCAATGTATCTTGACTGTCTTAGGAGCAGAAGCCCATAAGGCATCCACAGATACCGTAAGTGCTTTTCTCTACTGCACTCCAAAGCATACTCTGCTTGAGCATGCTTTAGAAGACAGGCTTCTCCAGCCTTTTAATGGCCTGAAGATATTTTCAAGATAACCAACTACGGTTGTGTGCATACACTGTTTGTTTATGAAATAAGAGTATGAAAGTATGAAATAAGAATATTGACAAATGTATTAAGAGGAGCAGTGCTGAAAAGCAAGGAAGCATCTTATATTTCCCCAGGAATTAATTTTGGGGGTTTCTTTTTCAGTATACAGCTCTCTTCACTGTGGTAGGATGTCACCATCTCAACCTTGGGTTTTCCTGGCTGTCTTGCATTTCTGTTTCTGCAGTGCTCAGCCTCCTAATGGTTATTCCATCTTGGCCCCATTAATTTCTTTCTACGAACCATTTGATTTCTCTGAGCAAGGAAATGATATCCCAGGAAATGATGTTGAAGGTGTTAAGACACAGGTGCAGGATTTTTGCTTCATGTTCCTACCACCACAGCTTTTTCCCACGCTCTCTCCTTTCTCAGATAGTGGATATCAGTGACTTTTTACGAAGATCAGACATTCAGTTTGTGCAGAATGCACTCAGTTACCCATGCGGCACTGTCAAAGCCATTTGTATCCCTCAGGGAGTGGTAAGTGATGCTTTTACATACAGCTTATGGTTTATGTGAAAGAGAAGGCTTTGGGGAGATCTTATTGCAGCCTTTCAGTACTTATAGGGGGCTTATAAGAAAGATGGGGACAGACTTTTTACCAGGGCCTGTTGTGACAGGACAAGAGGGAATGGTTTTAAACTGAAAGAGGGTAGATTTAGACTAGATATAAGGAAGAAATTTTTTACAATGAGGGTGGTGAAACACTGGCACAGGTTGCCCAGAGAGGTGGTAGATGCCCCATCCCTGGAAGCGTTCAAGGTCAGCTTGGACGGGGTTCTGAGCAACCTGATCTAGTTGAAGATGTCCCTGCTCATTGCATGGGGGTTGGACTAGATGACTTTTAAAGGTCCCTTCCAACCCAATTCTATGATTCAATGATTCTATAAAATGCCAATTTGAATTCCTTTGTTGGTATGGAAGTGTTCCTTGCTATTACTGGGGGAGTGGTGTCCTTCAGGGAACTTGAGATTGGTTGTAATTGATGTCAGGGCTGAGCGGTATTAGACTGGAGACGATCAGGTGACAGGAAGAATATATTGTCCTCAGGAAGGGGAGGAAGAGAACAGAGCTGCAAGATTCCTTGAGGATAGGACAGCCTCTTGGGGCTTCAGCTTGCTTTTGTCAGTGATGGCTTCTGATGTGCATCTGAATAATAAATTATGCTCTGTGGCAAGAGATTGAAATAGAGCCAGGTATTGCACAGCTCTGTTCTGGACTAGTGAGAGAAAGGTCAAGTGGTTACAAGCCCTTCCCGTGTTTACTTTTGTTGCATCTGTGGGCACAACTCATGTCTCATAATGAGAATGTCACGGACCAAATCCAAGGCTGACAAAAGATGTAGAAGATTATTTGACATAAGCTGTGTATTTTGGCAGGGAAGGAGATTTAATTCTGCCTGTGGGCATCTTTGCAACTTGGGCAGTATAGAAAAAAATCTAAACACTGAGTTTTATTTGGGGAGTAGGACTTTCTGGTCATGGTTTCTCTTGAGATTCTTTTAATTTTGGCACAAAGTGCAAGTTACTGGCTTCCCACAAGAGGGCACTAAGGTGTCTGAGCAAAATAAAAGTGGCATCTTGAGCCCCTCTAAACATTAGAGTAGCTGAAAAAAAATCAAGATCTTGATGCAGGTCCTCACATCTACTGCATTTCTTTGCACGTAAGAGTCAGCCCAGTTGGTTTCCTTCTGTTTCTCCAAATTGAGCTATGCCTTCCCCATCAACAGTGTGGTGTTATAATCTTGTTCCTGCATGCTGGAGGCAGTTGGCGTGATCTGACTCTGCTGACAAGCTACATCTGATCTGTGAGCAGGGAGAAAAACTGCAGCCAGATGTACAGCCTCTTCCCGAAAGGAGCCCTTGGAGGAGACGCCCAGCTGCAGTCTAGTGCTGCGGTCCCCTTCCTATTTCACAGCCCTCATAGAACTTGCACTAGAAACAAATAACTGAAGAGGTTTGGAAATGGTTTAGTCAGTAGATTTGAATCCTCGTCAGGCTTTCCATAGATTTTTCTGATGTTTAATGTGTCTTCTCTTGCTCTTTCCCCAGAGGTATTTTAAAAATAAAGATTTGGAGTCATTAAAGGAGTCTGCAAAATCCCAGTTTAACCAGGTGAGATAGAAACACTGCTGAGGCTTTGGAAACAGTGAATGAAAAAGTATGTATAAAGGCACTTGCAGGCAGAGGAAGGTAGAAGAGCAGTTTTTAATAGCTGAGAGTCGGTGCCTGAGCATGTAATGCTTCAAGACAAGAGAGGGCAGCACTGAACTGACATACTCTTATCTTTCTTCAGGAAATCATGGAAATTATCTGCAGGCCTGATGGAAGCTTGAAGTCTCTGCTTACAAAGTTTCTTGGTGAGGAGCAGCAGTCAGAGCTCATCCAAGCGCTGAACATGCAGGTGGATGATGTGGTACTGCTGGCAGCTGGTGAACACAAGCAAGTGGTAGGAAGCATTTCTTGGGTGGCTATGTGAGTTGAGTGTTGCTCGTGATGACTTTGATGTTATATGACCTTAGTCTAATTCTCCTTATTATTAAAATAGGTCATCATCTAATTCTCTGTTTCTGTGGAGCTGAAGCTATAGCAACAGCAAATAATGCATGAAATGTACCTATTGCTTTTATTTCCCCCAGGCAAATTCTGGGAAGAACTCGTAACTAAAATGAAGGCTGGCATATAAAACAGGAACAAATCAGTGCCTCCTTTTTTCTCACCTTAACTTAATTTTTAAAGCATCAAACAGATTGGAAAACAAGGTCAACTAGGTAATTTTGTCTCCCATAGGCAGATGACAAGAGTGAAGCACAGCTGCTTATTAGCAGCAGCGATGGGAGATTCTGTCCCTATCCTTCTCTGTATTCATGCCAGCAGACGCTGCCTTCCAAGCATTGGTTTAAGACAAGGTGTCATGCTTTGCTTGATAGCCAAAATTTTGTCATATTATCTTTCTGTGTTTTCATTTCTCTGTCTGCAAAGTGCAGATCTTACCTGTGCTCCCCCAGTTAATCCACACTTGTGTAGAGCTTGAGATTACTGTAGGAGAGTTCTGTGAGGATGGAATATTTGGAAGAAAATGAGCTTTCCAACTCCATACTCGCCTTTCTTTGTCAAACCCTGGAGC